TTTGCCTTAGTTTGCTCTTTTTTTAGTGAGTTCAAGTGTAGTTAAAAAAATAGCGTTTTTTTAACACTTAGTTTGGTGAAGTAGGCCTTATAGTTTTTTTGCTCAAATATTAAACAGTCAAGAAGTTGTCATTTTTTTTGTATATAGTTTATTTTACTTGTCGGAATGATTTTTTTCCAAAAAAATTGTAGCGGTAAATCTGTCTTGTTTTTTTTTTCGTCGTGTCTTGAATATATCTTCCATCATTTTTTTTTTTTAAAATGTTTCATATCAAAATAATTATTTTTTTTCACTTCAAGTCCATTATATTTTCATTTGGTATTTTTTTATCAAGTCAAGTAAAAATCTAATGAAAGTTATTTTTTTAACATGTTTTAAAGTAATGTCCCGAGTAAGATTTTTTTAAGCAAACGGCAAAGGAATGCAAGGTGCTAATTTTTTTTTGTATAATCCATCCATCCCAGTGGTTTAAGTTTTTTTGCGCTAAAGAACTAGGGAACTCTCTATTGYTTTTTTTTATAGMRAGTTYCCCATGTACGAATGTCTTGGTTTTTTTACTGATTATGTATCCATCTGTGGGTAACACATTTTTTTAATAAAATGTGGATAAACTCTATTTTGAAACTTTTTTTCTTTTGTATTAAAAGCTCTTATCCAATCATAAGCACTCAAAACAATAGCCAAAAGATGCTTCTAATTTGTTTTTTTCCCCACATAGAATTGCCGTAATATTGAAGCTTTTTTTTGCTTTCATGAAAGCGAAAACAGACATTAAATTTTTTTTTAGAAAATTCGCTAACTTGTGAAATTATAGCAGATTTTCATGTTTTAACCAATGGGATGGATGGATTATTTTTTTTGTAATTAGCACCTTCTTGCATTCCTGTGCCGTTTGCTTCCCTAGTTTTTACTCGGGGCATTACTTAAACTTTTTTTTCTACTGTAATTTCACAAGTTAGCGCATTTCTTTTTTTTTTATTTAATATCTGATTCCGACTTCATGAATTTTTTTTTTAGCTGCAATATTAAGGCAATTCTATGTGTTTTTTTTATCAATTTAGAAGTTTTTCTTGGCTATTGTTTTTTTTGCTTATAATTGGATAAGAGGTTTTAATACAATTTTTTTTTTGTTTCAAAATAGAGTTTATCCACATTTTTTTTTTTAAATGTGTTACCCACAGGTTAATGTATAATCTTTTTTTAAACCAAGACATTTGTATGTGGGGAAGTTGCTTTTT